TACTTTTATTAAACTAAATTTTAAAACTTACTAGGGTTTAAAACCTTTCTTTTTTAAAAAAACAAAATTGATGTTAAAAAATGATATGATAGGCAAGTATTTATAAAATCCATTTGTCAAATAAAATTAAAAATTTTACTTCTTTAAATATATTTAACCAAAAAATTAACCAACTTTTCGCCCAAATGACATACTTTTCAGAAATTCTAGTTTTCATAAAAATAAGAATTTATATTTATGAAGGAAAATATTAATCTGTACAGTTTTATATATTAAAAAAATGATTTTATATGTAGTAAACAAATTACAACTTACCAGCTACAAAAACAATTTGGGCATTGTAGTAATGTCCATCCTTCCACTTGACACTATACAATTTATCTCTATGAAGATTGTCAGATTTGAACTTTTTTATTTGGTCAACATTTGTAACAAAAAAAGATTTATCGTCTACAAATCTCACATATGCATACATTTTTGGTGAATTTCGTTTTTAGATTCTTTATTTATTAATCTCCATGGAGAAATAACAAGGACAATCTTTTATTTTTTGCCCATTCAAAAGGGTCAATGCACAATAGTTTCTTTAAGGCTAACGCACAATAGCTTCGCGAACGAAATGTATGAGATAGAAAAGGATAAGAATATATTTCTCTCTTTTTCTAACTCATGTTTCACGTCCTCCAACGTCTTTTGCGAAGCTATTTTGCTTATTCCTGAACAATGTGCATAGGACCGTTTCCGAGTTGGGATTTTTAGCGCACTTTTTATAGGCCGTTTCCGAATTAGTTAAGCAAAGTCCACAAGGAGACAGAAAGAGCACTTAAACGGTAGTATGACGTCACTATAGAAGCTTCTACGCGCCACCTCGTAGGCGAAAACAACTTATGCTCGTTTCATATTTAGCATACAGAACATCGATGTTTCAGGCCTAAAGGCCTAAGCAGAACTAATTCTTGAACGGGAACGCAAACGTAATGGAATGAGTAAGAGAAGGATAGACATAATGTTTTTCCTTCTCTTACTCATTCCATTCCGTTTGCGTTCCCGTTCAAGAATTAGTTGTGCGTTGGCCTTAAGTCCCATGACAGCGCGAATGCAGAATGCAAAGTAGAAAATCATAAGGCTGTAGTCCCATGGCAGCGTTTTGCGTTGCGTTTTGTCACTAGACCCTGAGTGTAAACATAGCAAACATATATTTGCATCTCTTTTACACTCATGGTCTAGTGACAAAACGCAACGCAAAACGCTGTCATGGGACTGCAGCCTTATATTTCCAGAAATATACAAATCTGATTGGTTGTTCACAATCTGATTGATAATGGACAACCAATCAAATTTTTGCATTTAGGGAAATTAAAGTAAACCATTTTTTTTACCGAAAGTGTAAATGCTCCATTAGAATAAGCGCTGCCTATGCGACGCGTAAAAATTTAGTAACTGTATAGCAACTTTTAATTTTAACAATAAAGTCACTAAATTTTTATTAGAGCAGGGTGCAGTAGTTGACGAGAATTATGACAAATGTCGAGTAGCGATTTTGGCGAATGAGGAACTGTCGGAGAGAGAGGGCATTGAATTTTTTTGAAAAATTTAAACAGTAAATTTTTGACGACTTGTAACTTTTAAACAAAAAAAAGAAAAAAAATTTGCCCTATATGTTTTCGAAAGGTTTTTTCCTGCTCTTTCGAATGGTTCAAAAAATTTTTTTTTTAATTCAAATTTTGACCCTTTTTTTGAAAATTAAACCTTTTTTCAAATTTTTTTAAGTTCGGTCTTTTTTATTCTATTTATTTTTTTTTTTTGAAAGCTAAAAATGTATATTTTCACCACAAAAAATATTGAGATGTCCTTTTTTGTTATTTTCGAGATACTAATTAATTAATGTTAATAAAAAATGTAATATTTTAGAAATAAATAAAGTTATTGCAATCCTGAAGGTACCCATTGAAACCTGAAGTAATTCCGTATCCAACGAACCCTTTATGGACTATTTTGGATCAGAGCATTTTTTATAAACAATTGCCATGTTAGCCAATTGTTTATTAACAATCCACTAAACCAAAGTACTTCATATAGGGCTCGTTGAATGCGGAATTTTGTCAACTTTCCTTTAGTATCGTCAGAATTACGATAACTTTATTTGTTTATAAAATATATCATTTTTTATTAACCTTAATTAATTAACTAATATCTCAAAAATAACAAAAAAGGACATCTCAATATTTTTTGTGGTGAAAATACACGTTTTTAGCTTTCAAAAAAAAAAAAGGACCAAACTTAAAAAAAAGTCAAAAAATTATTGATTTTTAGAAAAATGGGTCAATTTTTGAAATTTTGATTTCACCAATCGAAAGAGCACAAAAAAACATTTGGACAACATAATATATGTCAACATTTTTAGGGTTCCGTACCCGAAGGGGGAACCCTATTAAGTGAAGCAAGGCATGTACCCCCCCCCCTAGCGGCCACACGAATTTATCTAGAGGGCTGAAATTTGGTATACATATGTATTTTGGCGTGTAGATTACAGGAAAAATATAGCGAATCTCATAGGAATTAATTATCATAGCGTTGTCAAGGAAAAACCATGAATTTTTACGAAAAATCCCTAAAAATGACTATGTACCCCCCCCCTGGTTGCCACATCTTTTTACATAGAGAGCTCAAATTTGGTACACTTATGTATTTTTACGTGAAAATTACAGGAAAAATATAGCTAACATGATTCGGATTAATTTACATAGCGTTGTCAAGGAAAAATCAAAAATTTTGAAAAAAGCGATTAATCCTCCTAGCGCACACAATATTTGACGAAGGCAGTTCATATTTCGTATACTTACGTATTTTTGCGTGTAGATTACAGGAAAAATATAGCGAGCACAATTGGAGTTGATGTTCATATTATTTTTAAGGAAAACTCATATTTTTAGAAAAAATCATGGATTTTTCGAATAAAAAAAGAAGAAAATTTTATCCTAAGGGATCCAAATTTATACTTTTTTACGTATTTTTACGTGTAGATTACAAAAAAAATATAGCGAGAACGATTGGAGTTGATAATCATAGCGTTTTCAAGGAAAAACTGATAATTTTCGTTATATGTGACTATGTGTCTATCTATGTGTTTTTATGCTCACATTACAGGAAAAATTAGGCAAAATTGGAATTTTTCCACCTGCCTTTACACTTTAACCCCCTTAAATTTAAGGTTTAAGGGTACGGAACCCTCAGTTTTAATGCGAGTGTAACTCGCACTTGTCCGATTTTTTTTATCTACTTATATAATATTTACAAAGCACGAAACTGTGAGTGCAGAAGAGATGGAAAGACATCGCTATCCTTTTCACTCTCAGGCTGCAGTCCCATGACAGCGTTTTGCGTTGCGTTTTGTCACTAGACCATGAGTGTAAAAGAGATGCAAATATATGTTTGCTATGTTTACACTCAGGGTCTAGTGACAAAACGCAACGCAAAACGCTGCCATGGGACTACAGCCTTATGATTTTCTACTTTGCATTCTGCATTCGCGCTGTCATGGGACTTAAGGCCAACGCACAACTAATTCTTGAACGGGAACGCAAACGGAATGGAATGAGTAAGAGAAGGAAAAACATTATGTCTATCCTTCTCTTACTCATTCCATTACGTTTGCGTTCCCGTTCAAGAATTAGTTCTGCTTAGGCCTTTAGGCCTGAAACATCGATGTTCTGTATGCTAAATATGAAACGAGCATAAGTTGTTTTCGCCTACGAGGTGGCGCGTAGAAGCTTCTATAGTGACGTCATACTACCGTTTAAGTGCTCTTTCTGTCTCCTTGTGGACTTTGCTTAACTAATTCGGAAACGGCCTATAAAAAGTGCGCTAAAAATCCCAACTCGGAAACGGTCCTATGCACATTGTTCAGGAATAAGCAAAATAGCTTCGCAAAAGACGTTGGAGGACGTGAAACATGAGTTAGAAAAAGAGAGAAATATATTCTTATCCTTTTCTATCTCATACATTTCGTTCGCGAAGCTATTGTGCGTTAGCCTTAAAGAAACTATTGTGCATTGACCCTTTTGAATGGGCAAAAAATAAAAGATTGTCCTTGTTATTTCTCCATGGAGATTAATAAATAAAGAATCTAAAAACGAAATTCACCAAAAATGTATGCATATGTGAGATTTGTAGACGATAAATCTTTTTTTGTTACAAATGTTGACCAAATAAAAAAGTTCAAATCTGACAATCTTCATAGAGATAAATTGTATAGTGTCAAGTGGAAGGATGGACATTACTACAATGCCCAAATTGTTTTTGTAGCTGGTAAGTTGTAATTTGTTTACTACATATAAAATCATTTTTTTAATATATAAAACTGTACAGATTAATATTTTCCTTCATAAATATAAATTCTTATTTTTATGAAAACTAGAATTTCTGAAAAGTATGTCATTTGGGCGAAAAGTTGGTTAATTTTTTGGTTAAATATATTTAAAGAAGTAAAATTTTTAATTTTATTTGACAAATGGATTTTATAAATACTTGCCTATCATATCATTTTTTAACATCAATTTTGTTTTTTTAAAAAAGAAAGGTTTTAAACCCTAGTAAGTTTTAAAATTTAGTTTAATAAAAGTATAAAAACGTAATTAAATAAAAAACTATTTACATATATGTGTAACTGAATTTTCTTGACATTATTTTTTAAAATATTTATTTTGTAATGCTACTTTTTAAATATTTCTAAAAATACTTAGTTTTTTAAAGTTTGTACAATTTTTAAATAAGATTGTAGATGTATTAACTCTTATATTGATAAAATAAAGATTTGTAATACATGATACAGAAACCTAACAAAAATTTAAAAAATTATAATAGATTTAAAATCTTAAGATAATAATTATTAAATTTCAGACCTGTTTACTTAATACATAAAAAATTTACATTTATAAGTATAAAGTAAAATGAATTTTTATTTTTGATTCTTTTTGTATTTCTCAAATTATTTACACGAAATGAATTCTGTTTTACGTGCAGACAGTCGTAAAGCAATAAATCTTAAAGTGGATGAATACAAAAAGGCGAATACTCGAATTCGACTAGCACCGATTAGAGAAAACCCATCGACTGAAGAGGAGGATAGCCCTATTAGAAATAAAGATAATAAGGTACATTGTTCTGATATCTGTGATAGGTTCTTTCATTTAAAAAACAAGCAACATTCAGGTTTCATAGTGTTTTCCTTATTTTTCCTCTCTTTTAAAAAATTCCCCTTTTTCACCTTTTTTATGAATATTTCCCTTATTTTATGTTGAAACTCGAATAATGGGATATTTCATAAAAATACAAATTTAAACTAAAAAATTACAAGTGTCGGATTGCACAAGTTTTTCGACTTTTTTAAAATGAATGCGACTATTTTGACTAGTTTTTATATAATGCGACTTTTTCGACTATTTCGTACAAAATATACTTTTAACAACATTTTCTGAAAATTTTATTATTTAAAACACTTGCTCAATACAATTTTTTTTTAAATTCAGTTATTGTCTGAATCTTATAAAAAGTATTCAGCAATTTAAATTTACAAAATAATTTTCTCTAAATTAATTATTTCAATAATTTTAATTTAATTTTTCAAAAATTCAAATTTTTTTATTAAAAATTCTTTGAAATTTAATTATTGTTTAAAATTTTGTCAATAATTTTCAAGAATTCAAATTTACAACACGTTCAATTAATAAATTAATTTTTTCAATAATATCTTAATTAATTTCTTTGAAAATTTTTATTATTTAAAACATTTGCCAAAATTCTGAATTTGAATAATTTGTACAATAATTTGGAATATTTTCTTCTTTTAAAGTAATTTAATTTGTCATTGTTTAATTATGAAGTTTGAAAAAAGTTCATGGAAATGTTCTTGTGAAATATTCTTATTATAGAATTAGAAAAAATTTATTTAATTTTTAATAATAAATGTTACTAATAATGAAATATTTATTAGCTAAAAAAATTTATTAAGAATAAAAAATATCAATTTTTTCTATTTTTGTTGTAATGAAAATCGACTAAAACGACTTCTTTCTCTTTCTAAAGTAAACCCAAGGCCTGAGTTAGGAAAATTGGAATTCTTTTTATAACAGAAAATTAGTTTTAAAATTTAATTTAGGTAAACAAATTTAATTTAAATTAATTTAAAATTTCAGTTCCTTTGAAAAATATGAATAAACTCAAGTTTTTTTATTTTTTACAAGAAGCTTTTCGGTTTGATAAAATAAAAAATTACCTAAATTTTTTATGAAAAAAAATTACTTTAGAAATAATTTTCATTCTGTGTATCAATGGTATTTGCTTAAGTAATAATTAAATAATTATTTACTATTTTTAACTAGTAAACAATTAATAAACAATAACAAATCATGAAAAAAAGTTTTTTTAAATTTAGAGACCCCAAAAACCCTTATATAAATTCTTATATTTTCATAAAAATTTGTCAACTAGAATTTATTGGACATTTCGGGACCGCAGTATCAATTTTTTCTCTAACAGAGAAAAGGTTAAGATGTATTTTATTCATCAAGAAAATGGGTGGTCTCAAAATGTTCACCGGTAGTGTAATTTAAAACAACTTAAAAGATTTTTGGTTGAGGAAAATATAAATTAAAATTTTACCTTATTTTTCTTTTCTTTAAATAAAATTTCCCCTATTCCCCTTTTTTTTAGCAAATTTTATTCTGTGAAGCCTGAACATTGCTTTATGAAACATGTGCTTGAATTTAAAGAGATTTACACATTAAGGGATACTAGAGATAAAAAAAATCTAAAGGGTATAGGGGGTTAAGGATACAAAAAGTGCCGTTGCAGGTATTCTGTTCAAATTGACACCATATATTGCTACCCCTATGAATATAAAATTCTGCAAGTATGAACCCATAATTCGAATTTTTGGGGGAGTTGTGGTGGGGGAAAGGAAAATAAAGAAATCCATTTTTCTCGAAAACTACTGAACCGAATTTAATGAGCTTTGAATATGTTATACATGTCGCTAAGACAATTCTAAAAAAAAATCTCAAAATTTTTTTTTGAAAAAAAGTCAAAAAAAATTAATTTTGAAATTTCCAAAAATTTTTTTTGGGGTGATTTTTTGAAGTGACCACTTTAATTTTTTTTAAAGTTACCTTATAATATCCCCTTTAACATATATTTTTTCAGATTTTTAAAAAATGTAGTTTTTGAATAATTTAACGAAAACCATCGTCGCGCTACATGACGCAGCGCGCACAGTGTGCTGATGCAGTATACGGGTGTTCCAAAAGTATGGAAACTTTCAAATATCACAAAAAGTACGAATTTTTGTAAAAAATGTTCAAGACAAAAGTTGTTCCAAACAAAAAGATGTACATCTTTGAGACCAAAAAATTGGGCCCGGAGCCCAATGTTGGGCCCTACAATGAAAAAAGTGGTTTTCTTAAAGGAGACCACTAATTTTCAGTATCTAATTCGTAATCCCCATGAAATTCTGCGTTCAAACATGTGGTATTAGTTCCCAAAATATTGGGCCCAATCCAAGATATTGGGTCCAAAATTTATCAACAGATAAATAAATTTTAAAAAATCGCATCTTGGAGGGATTTTGAGATCACAGGATTAGAAATTGGAAGCTAATTTTCAAATTGGGCATAGAGTCCAATGTAAGATTCCGCCACCCAATGTGAGGCCCACGGTAAAAAAAATTAGTTGTCTTGAATAAAACCCATTAATTTTCAGTATCCAATTCGTAATCCCCATGAATTTCTTGGGTTAGACTTGTAGTAAAAGTGACAAAAATATTGGGCCCAATGTCTGGGATTAGGCCTAACATTTTTCGTTAAATAAATAAATTTAATAAATCGCATCTTTAGGAGTTTTTGGGGTCATAGGATTAGAAATTCGAAGCTAATTTTCAAATTGTACACAAAGCCCAATGTAAGATTTCGCAGCCCAATGTGAGGCAGAAAAAAAATTAGTTTTCTTCTATTTCGTAATCGTTATGAAATTCTGGGCTTAGACTTGTGGTACAAATTCCAAAAATATTGGGCCCTCACATTGGGCTGCAGAATCTTACATCGGGCTCTATGCTCAATTTCTAATCCTGTGATCTCAAAATCCTTCCAAATGCGATTTTTTAAAATTTATTTATCTGTTGATAAATTTTGGACCCAATATCTTGGATTGGGCCCAATATTTTGGGAACTAATACCACATGTTTGAACGCAGAATTTCATGGGGATTACGAATTTGATACTGAAAATTAGTGGTCTCATTTAAGAAAACCACTTTTTTCATTGTAGGGCCCAACATTGGGCTCCGGGCCCAATTTTTTGGTTTCAAAGATGTACATCTTTTTGTTTGGAACAACTTTTGTCTTGAACATTTTTTACAAAAATTCGTACTTTTCGTGATATTTGAAAGTTTCCATACTTTTGGAACACTCGTATACTGCATCAGCACACTGTGCGCGCTGCGTCATGTAGCGCGACGATGGTTTTCGTTAAATTATTCAAAAACTACATTTTTTAAAAATCTGAAAAAACATATGTTAAAGGGGATATTATAAGGTAAATTTAAAAAAAATTAAAGTGGTCACTTAAAAAAATCACCCCAAAAAAATTTTTTGAAAATTTCAAAATTAATTTTTTTTTTACTTTTTTTCAAAAAAAAATTTTGAGATTTTTTTTTTAGAATTGTCTTAGCGACATGTATAACATATTCAAAGCTCATTAAATTCGGTTCAGTAGTTTTCGAGAAAAATGGATTTCTTTATTTTCCTTTCCCCCACCATAACTCCCCCAAAAAATCGAATTATGGGTTCATACTTGCAGAATTTTATATTCATAGGGGTAGCAATATATGGTGTCAATTTGAACAGAATACCTGCAACGGCACTTTTTGTATCCTTAACCCCCTATACCCTTTTTGACAAATACATATAGAAATACTGTATTGAAAAAAATAAAAATTTGTTTTTTCAAAAAAAGCAAGAAACAAATCAGTTGAAATTTTATTATTATCTTTTTTCAACTAATAAACTTGTTTTATAATTATGACATTTTCTATAGACAAATTATTATTTTTTTGATATTATTTTAAAATAATTATTTTTATTTATATATTTTTAATAATTATTATATATATATATTTTTTTTCAATAAATAAATAAAAGTGTTTGAAATTCCCTGGACAAAATTTTTTTTACATCTTTCAAACCGCTAATTTACTTTTACTCATTACAATTTACTTTTTTTATATTCCCTTTTATAAAAGGATTATTTTAAGGCTCCATCAGATTTTATGACTTTTTAACGCAAAATAAGAAATGATTTCAATTTCAAATTATATTTTTTAAAATGTTATATTTGTAATTTTCTGATTTTAACGATTCTAACTATATAAAACTTCATGTATAAAAACTTAAAAAATACACAATGACTATACCACTAGCTACTCTATTAATTATCATTAATTTCCAGTAATTTTCAAATATTTTACAAATATTGTTAAAATTAAAAGTTGCTATACAGTTACTAAATTTTTACGCGTCGCATACGCAGCGCTTATTCTAATGGAGCATTTACACTTTCGGTAAAAAAAAATGGTTTACTTTAATTTTCCTAAATGCAAAAATTTGATTGGTTGTCCATTATCAATCAGATTGTGAACAACCAATCAGGGTAGAATAGTGGAATAGTGGAATAAATGTCGACCAATGAGATGAGTCTAGGGGAATTGGACTTAAGGTGTTAAAATGTGAATATCGTTTTGAAATCTATGTGTTTGATGGTTCGTGATAGTGAAATCATTTATTAAGAAAAATGAACAAACAATTCAATGACAATTACTAAAATGTATTTTTAACTATGTGTGAGTGATGCACATAATTTTTAGAGGTAAAGAATTTTGCGGAATTGAAATATAAGTAAATAACATATTTAAATATACAACTTTAATATCCCTACTACCAACTAAAAGTTTTAAATAAAAAATTTTGGTGTTAATTTTATTTACTCAAAAATTAAATTTGGACAATACTGATGTTAAATTTATTATTCAAAATTAAAAAATTAACACATTCTATACAAATTAAATTCTTAATAAATATATATATATATATAACTTGGACTCAATCAATTGAAGAATAATCAATAATTAAAACAATAATTAAATAAATACATAATAAGTACAACACAAAACAATAAATATAAAATTAAAATATTCATAAAATCGGTTGAGTGATTTGTAAACTTAATAATTTTTTTAATTTTTTTAAAAAATGTCCAATTACCTATTCTACCAAATTTAGGGTACCTATGTCCCAGCTGGTAGAATAGTGGAATAGAGGAACAGAAAAAGCGAATCGTGGTAATTGTAAGATTGGGATCCAGTGTAAATGCAGCTTATTATTGGCTGCATAACAGCAATTCAACTATTCCACTATTTCTATTCTACCACATGGGACACGCGCTTTTTGATTTTGGTAGAATAGTGGAATAGACAAAATAATAACAAAGTACAATACATTCAACGTATATTTATAATAATAATAATATTTAAACTATATGACATAATAGGTATGAAACTAAGTCATTAATAATTCTTTTATAATAAAAAATCACTTTATATAATAAATAAATGTATAATAATTTATATAATAAATAAATATAAAATTTCAGGTTATTTTCAACACTATGTATAAAATCTTTGAATTTTCATTAAATATTTTTGTAGGTATATGATGTGTTCCACGCCAAAGTGACGTTCTATCTACAATTGCATCTCCGTTTTTTTTATTTTATTACTAATTGAGGCTAGCTTTCATGAATTTTTTCAAATTTTTTTAACAAGCCGTTTTCGAGTTATGCAATTTTGAAAATTGGAGAATTTTCATGGCTTTTAATATTTAAATGCTCATAACTTCCTAAAAGATGCATCAATTTTTAAATTTTCTTTTTTTTAAATGTTATTTTAAACGTACATTAAAAAAATAGAACATTTTTTTAAAATTATATTACTATTAAATTTTTAAGTTTTAATGATAAAAAGTCATTTTTCTTAATAAATGATTTCACTATCACGAACCATCAAACACATAGATTTTAAAACGATATTCACATTTTAACACCTTAAGTCCAATTCCCCTAGACTCATCTCATTGGTCGACATTTATTCCACTATTCTACTATTCCACTATTCTACCCACATGGGACTGCACCCTCAGATTTGTATATTTCTGGAAATATAAGGCTGCAGTCCCATCACAGCGTTTTGCGTTGCGTTTTGTCACTAGACCATGAGTGTAAAAGAGATGCAGATATATGTTTGCTATGTTTACACTCATGGTCTAGTAACAAAACGCAACGCAAAACGCTGTCATGGGACTGCAGCCTAAAATAAAATTTTTTTACCAAAGGTGTAAATGCTTCATAATATTCCCATCCACCTGAAGGTGGATCTCCAATGGGACTCTAAGCTCAAGCGTTGTGTATCTGTCGATTTAATTCCCATTTAGTTTAGCTTTGGTGACGTCATACGTCAACGTTTATTTCTGTTATTAAAGCCTTTCTCCAATATGTTTCTAAATGTTTGCGTTGCGTAACTGACGCGTTGGTTTGCAATCGCAGTGACGTCATCAAAGCATTGATACCAATCGCAAACAAAAAGTTTGGTTTATGATTTTAAGACACTGAATTTTTTAATTATAAATATTAAAGAATTTAAATTACTAAAAGGCGCCGAGAAACAAGGTGCATTAAAATTTGTAAAGTTGGAAAACAGGGATAAGAGGAACATAAACCAAACTTTTTGTTCGCGATTGGTATCAATGCTTTGATGTCGTCACTGCGCTTGCGAACCAACGCGTTAATCACGCAATGCAAACATTTAGGAACATATTGGAGAAAGGCTTTAAGGGGGGAAACTCGTGTAAAAAATTTTTTTTTCACAATTTTTTTTTTGCTTTAAAAATTAGTTTACTATCTGTAGAATACGATCCTACATGACTAATCTATAATTAGATGTATGAATGTCTATAGTAAACATAAGTTTAGTACTTCAGATGCAACAAAATGCAGTTAACTATGAGCACGAGCTCCCTCTATTGTTTGGGTTTCTTGTCAATATAATTTTATTAATTGTCATTAGCAAATACCATAAGCAAGTGATAGTAAATCTTGGTTTTAGTGCAATAATTATTTTCGAATACATAACGTCTTCAAGGCAATAGTTAGAACACTACTTTTATGTATCGAAAACTTTATATGCGTTTTTCTCGAAACGTGTTTTTAAGCGCGCCGTGCAATGTAACTCAGCCAATTTTTAACCAATTTTAACCAAACTTACCACAAATCTTCTTTAAGGCCTAAGCAGAACTAATTCTTGAACGGGAACGCAAACGGAATGGAACGAGTAAGAGAAGGATAGACATAATCTTTGTCCTTCTCTTACTCGTTCCATTCCGTTTGCGTTCCCGTTCAAGAATTAGTTCTGCTTAGGCCTTTAGGCCTAAGCAGAATAGCTTCGCGAAAGACGTTTGCGAACGTGAAACATGAGTTAGAAAAAGACAGAGATATATTCGTATCCTTTTCTATCTAATGCATCTCGTTCGCGAAAGACTTTCGCGAACCTATTGTGCGTTGGCCTTTTATCTTACTAGCTATTGCATGACGGATTCCTGTTTTTAAAAAAAAATTTTTAACAATTGTTTCTGAACATTGTTTATAAAAAAAGTTATTTTTTTTCAAAATGGTCCCAAATTAAAAATTTTTTTTCAGTTTTCTCTTCGTCATGCAAAGCGTATTTGCGTATTTTAACGGTAAAAATTTTGATTTTTAATTTTAGTTGAGATTTGTGACCTGTAGGTTGCACGGCGCAAAATCAAAGATGCAACTTCAAACGCCTGTAACGCCGCCATTTTGTAATATTTTTTAATAAAATTTTTTTTTTATAAAGCTGATATTGTGGACTTTAAGCTATGTTTTACTTTAATTCAATAAACTTTACCAGTTTTTTAAAAAAAATTCCTGAAAAACGTGCATTTACACGAGTTTCCCCCTTAAAGCTGAAGGGCGTCGGACGTCAACGTGGACCTAATGAGAGAGAGGGATATTTTTATACTAAAGAAGCTATAAGTCTTTTTAATGTCTCAAATACTTCGTAAAATGTTCATCTGTCGAGAAATATTGACAAAATAAAAAAAACATTTTAAAAAAATAGAAATTATATCATTTTATTGGAATTTCAAGTAAGAGCTCCTATTACACGGAGAAAATCTGAAAGCACTGAGTATTTTTTCTCACAGCACTGGCTACTGTATAAACCAAAAAATTAAATTCCAAAACTCTGAATGTTCTCCACACAGCGCTGAATGCTCTGCAGAAAATAGTCACAACTTTTTTTGACAGTAATCAGAGTTTCGTTTCATATTAGTTGACAACAGATTATTCAGAACTACGAATGTAGCAATAAATTCTTTGCTCGAAGTCGTGACTGCTGTTCTCACAGCTCTGAGTACTGTGTAGAATTATTTTTTAGAATTTAGAAAACAAAGGAACGTTTAACGTTAATTAAAAAGAAGATAGCCATGGTTATTTTTTCTTTTCAAATATTGATTTTAATTGATATGTGAGCCGCCGGAAAGTAAAAGGGCGCATAAAATTTGTACGGCCGTTCGAGTTGGCCCCTGACTCTGAAAAGATTTTCCAAGCGTCAGGGGCCAACTCGAACGGCCATACAAATTTTATGCGCCCTTTAACTTTCCGGCGGCTCATGTTTATAAACAGTTAATAAATAACAGAAATAAGGAAATGAAGACTTTAAAAAGTCTTTTTAAAAACTATCGTTTTTAAAAATTTTTCAGTTATATATCAAATAAAGTTATCATACAATGATGAAATAATAAATAATTATTTTTAAAATGAATTATAATAGGTAAATTTTAAATATTTTTTTTTGTATTTCACAAGTTTTGAGATTTTAAGATTTCTTAGCTAATATCAAATTACAACCTAATCTAAATTTATAGATAATTATGATTAAAAAATATTAAGTTTCAACATTATTATTTTAAATATTTATCTCGTGAAGTAAAAAAAATTATTATTTCTTACGTTTATTAATAAAAAGTAATTTGTTTAATATTATTAAAGTTTATTACTTTTTATTTAATTAAATATAAATAATTTTCGTCAAATAATCTGTTTTTTATAAAAATATTAGAAAACATCTAAAATTGATTAAAATTGTCTTGAACGCTTGTTTAAAATTGTTATTTGTTTTTTATTAAAGGTTAAAAATGTTCTTTTATTTTTTTAATTCTAAAAAATAATTCTACACAGTACTCAGAGCTGCGAGAACAGCAGTCACGACTTCGAGCAAAGAATTTATTGCTACATTCGTAGTTCTGAATAATCTGTTGTCAACTAATATGAAACGAAACTCTGATTACTGTCAAAAAAAGCTGTGATTATTTTCTGCAGAGCATTCAGTGCTGTGTGGAGAACATTCAGAGTTTTGGAATTTAATTTTTTGGTTTATACAGTAGCCAGTGCTGTGAGAAAAAATACTCAGTGCTTTCAGATTTTCTCCGTGTACCCCACAAGTGGGGTAGATTACGTTGCATTTTTTTAGAACAAATTTTGTTTGGCAAATTTATAAATTAAATTTAAAGACAAGTATACTTGTCTTTAAATTTCTAATTAATTACAAGTAAAGATAAATAATAAAAGGAGTAAAAAATGACCAAAAAAAATATTTTATTATAATAAGATAGTTTTTTAAATCATTTTCCTTAAGGGTCTCCAATTCCCCCACCTTACCCTATAAACTAAATATTTTGTAATTTTGAAATAGCTAATAACTGTTTTATTTTTGTAACTTTATAATTATATTTCAGACAATGGAAAATAATCCAAAACGATATAAATTGTGGTTAGACAGTGATGAAGCGGATATTCCCCGTACAACTCTTTATGATCGTAATCAGAGAGATTTAGAAATAGTAAGTGCTTTAAAAAATGACATCAGTGAAAACAGTTGTCGCCTAAACATTATAGTATCTACTCTCAGTTGATAATATACATTATATATGTAATATTATATATTATAGTGGGTATTATATAATATTAAAAAATATTTACAGTTAAAAAAACAAAATTAAAAAAAGTATAAAATGAAAATAACGGAATGATAAGTTCTTTAAGAAATATTATAAAGTTTTTTTTCAAAAATATTTTAGGACGTTTTTGAAATATTTTTTAATTTTTTTACCCAGAATTTTAAGTTTAGAAAAAAATGTATACAAAAAAGTACAAGTCGAATACAATTGGACACCAAATTTCTTCTAAAGAAATTTTGATTTTTAATATTGCAGAATATTTTTTGGATTTTTGTCCGGAATTTTGAGTCTCCAAAACGATTTTTAGCATAAATGACCAAAAGTTAAGCACTGTTAGATACAATATTTGTTTTTCTTGCAATTTTAATTGCACTGGTGTAACTTCCTGGACATATATAAAATTGTTTTTTCAGTTATGATTTTTTCAAAATCTGCTGGTTTTTGGAGTTTTTTAAAAGTAGACCTAATTTTAATAACATCCAATTCTAAAGGATTTGAATTTAAGAATTTTTCCCAACAGAAAAAAGAATTCCAGTTTATAATTGACTTTCAAACTATGTTAACGAAATTTTTTTTAGATTTTTATATAAAAACTGACGACTTCACATGAACAAATTATTTTTTTTAACTTTGAGCATGATTTTTTAAATTAATTTTATTATTTTTACATAACTAAAAATATTTAGAACATTTTGCAAAAAGTTTTAAAGTAGGCCTGATGATCCTTTTTGTTTAAATATGTTTAAGTGGTTAGTACCACATCTAAGTGACTTTTCTTAAATATTTTTTTTTATTACAAAATTTTTTTTATTTACTTTAAACTTTTTATACCTAAAAGAAGGGGTTTTAAACTATTAAAAAAAATTTATTCCTTATTTATTATGGATTATCTTGCTATCATGGCCGCCTGAAAATACCCCTACTTGTGATTGGCGGACACGATATCTCCAATTCAGGTCATCGAAAAATTAAATTTTTGATATTTTCTTGAAAAGTAATCTCGTCGCTATCGTCGGAACTACAATGAATTATTTTCGTTGAAAAAAACAAAATGGAAAACTTTTTTTATTTTTGACCTTTTTTTCAACTTAAATTGTTTAAAAAAATGGTTAAATATTTAAATAAATATGATTCTAGTTCTGATGATAGCGGTATATGTGTAGAATAAGCCATAAAAATTTGAGCTTAATCGGTGCAACAGTTTTTCTTTTATGATGTCTGCCAGGTCAAAAAACGTTGTTTTGAGAATAAGCGAATTTACGAAAACATGTCCTTTTTCAAGAAAATGCACCCTTACACGACAGGATACATTATATACATGTATATATGGGCAAATCTACGAAACTTTTAACTTTTGTGATTCTCGAAACGAACACTTAAAAATCTGAATTATTTTTAATTAAAACTTTGGGTATCATTTTTTTTTGCTAAATTATATACAAAGAATCTTGTAACTTTAGACCGATCTCTCCCTCCATTTTGATTTTTCTCCTCTTTCTAACATGTTAATTGAAGAGAGACAAAGAAGGAAAATGGAGTAAGAGATCGGTCTCTCACCAGATGGCGTATTGTAGTTTAGCAGTTCCCAATAGGGGGTAAAATTCATGTAGCGAACTAAGTGAAAAAAAAGTTGATCGGATCGGGCTGTAACTTGCACATAGTTTACCCCTAGGGGTAAGTAATTTAACCACGAAGTATTGTTAGGTTTTTTCAAAAACTGTCGTTGAGAGAGAGGGTTGAATTTTTTTGAAAAATTTAAACAGTAAATTTTTGAAGACTTGTAACTTTTAAACAGAAAGAAAACAAAATTTGCCCTATATGTTTTCGAAAGGTTTTTTCCTGCTCTTTTGAATAGTGCAAAGAAATTTTCAAAAAATATAAATTTTGACCCATTTTTTGAAAATTAAACCTTTTTTCAAATTTTTTTAAGTTCGCTCTTTTTTATTTTTTTTATTTATTTTTTTTTTGAAAGCTAAAAATGTGTATTTTCACCACATAAAATATTGAGATGTCCTTTTTTGGTATTTTCGAGATATTAATTAATTAATTAATTAATAGTAATAAAAAATGAAATATTTCACAAATAAATGAAGTCATTGCAATTCTAAAGGTACCCATTGAAAGCTGACGGAATTCCGCATTCAACAATCCCTATATGGACTATTTTGGATTAGAGGATTTCTTATAAACAATTGCCATGTTAGCAAATTGTTTATTAACAATCCACTAACCCAAAGTACTTCATATAGGTCTCGTTGGATGCAAAATTTAGTCAATTTTCATTTAGTAACCTCAGAATTACGATAACTTTATTTGTTTATAAAATATTTCATTTTTTATTAACCTTAAATAATTAACTAATATCTCACAAATAACAAAAAATCGGACAAGTGCGAGTTACACTCGCATTAAAACTGAGGGTTCCGTACCCTTAAACCTAAAATTTAAGGGGGTTAAAGTGTAAAGGCAGGTGGAAAAATTCCAATTTTGCCTAATTTTTCCTGTAATGTGAGCATAAAAACACATAGATAGACACATAGTCACATATAACGAAAATTATCAGTTTTTCCTTGAAAACGCTATGATTATCAACTCCAATCGTTCTCGATATATTTTTTTTGTAATCTACACGTAAAAATACGTAAAAAAGTATAAATTTGGATCCCTTAGGATAAAATTTTCTTCTTTTTTTATTCGAAAAATCCATGATTTTTTCTAAAAATATGAGTTTTCCTTAAAAATAATATGAACATCAACTCCAATTGTGCTCGCTATATTTTTCCTGTAATCTACACGCAAAAATACGTAAGTATACGAAATATGAACTGCCTTCGTCAAATATTGTGTGCGCTAGGAGGATTAATCGCTTTTTTCAAAATTTTTTATTTTTCCTTGACAACGCTATGTAAATTAATTCGAATCATGTTCGCTATATTTTTCCTGTAATTTTCACGTAAAAATACATAAGTGTACCAAATTTGAGCTCTCTATGTAAAAAGATGTGGCAACCGGGGGGGGGGTACATAGTCATTTTTAGGGATTTTTCGTAAAAATTCATGGTTTTTCCTTGACAACGCTATGATAATTAATTCCTATGAGATTCGCTATATTTTTCCTGTAATCTACACGCCAAAATACATATGTATACCAAATTTCAGCCCTCTAGATAAATTCGTGTGGCCGCTAGGGGGGGGGTGGTACATGCCTCGCTTCACTAGTCTCAATAATAGGGTTCCCCCTTCGGGTACGGAACCCTAAAAAGAACATCTCAATATTTTTTGTGGTGAAAATACACAGTTTTAGCTTTAAAAAAATAAATAAAAAGGACCGAACTTAAAAAAAAGTCAAAAAATTATTGATTTTCAGAAAAATGGGGCAATTTTTGAATTTTTTGAAATTTTTTTTTCACTAATCGAAAGAGCACAAAAAAATATTTGGAAAACATATATGTCAAATTTTTTTTTATCTACTTATATATTATTTACAATTTTTAGTTAATTAATTAACTACTAAGGTTAATAAAAAATAATATATTTTTTAAACAAATAAAGTTTTCGTAATTCTGACGTTACTAAACGAAAGTTGACAAAATTCCGCATCTAACGAGCACTTTATAAAGTAGTTTGGGTTAGTGGATTGTTAATAAACAATTGGCTAACATGGCAATTGTTTATAAAAAATCCTCTAATCTAAAATAGTCCATATAGGGATCGTTTGATGCGGAATTACGTCATCTTTCAATGGGTACCTTTAGAATTGCAATAACTTTATTTATTTGTAAAATAATTCATTTTTTATTAACAGTAATTAATTAATTAATTAATATCTCGAAAATAACAAAAAAGGACATCTCAATATTTTTTGTGGTGAAAAGACACATTTTTAGCTTTCAAAAAAAAAATAAATAAAAAAAATAATAAGGACCGAACATAAAAAATTTGAAAAAAGGTTTAATTTTCAAAAAAGGGTCAAAATTTTAATTTTTTGAAAATTTCTTTGCACCATTCGAAAGAACAAATTTTGTTTTCTTTCTGTTTAAAAGTTACAAGTCTTCAAAAATTTACTGTTTTTTTTCCCGTAGTTCGCTACAGGAATTTTACCCCATAGGTATATATTTATAAAAGCATACATTGTGCTCGCGAAGAGTACGTTCCATCTGCGCGTGACTTTTACATTGTACCCCGTTTTTCGATATGTTACCGAAGTTTCCAACCAAAATAATAGGTTCTATAGCATTTCTACATATATTTACTACACGAATATGCAGTTTTTAGAAAATCAATTTTTTTGAAAAAAGATGTGGTACTAACCCCTGTTACGGTCAATTTAATAAAAGACTCACTGTACCTTTTATATCACTTGCGTGAGTGACAATTTATTATCAAAATGATATTATACATGCAAAGGTAGGAATAAGACTGAATTGCTAAAACGTTTTGCAGCTCATGTCAAATATGAAGCAATACAGGTGGGGATATATATATTTGCTGACTATAACACCCCTTAAAACAAATTTTTTTTCTTTCTTTTTAATTTTCAAAAAAGAATGCATTTTAGTTTGCTTTTCTATGCTTTGTGTAAAATAAACGATCCTATAGTTTCCAAAAAAATTTTCATTTAAAAAATAAAATGCCAAAAAATTATTTTTTTTTGAACAAATTACTTTATCAAGATCGTCATCATTAAAATTTTAATTTTGAACACTAGTATAGTTTGCGATCAACCAGAGTTACCAATTGGTTACTCAGAAATCTACATAAAAAATAATTGTTCAATTTGAAAAAATGGGTGTATCATTAACATTTAGATCTTATGTAAGATATGGAAATAAAAATGTTGAAAAGACGACTTATAGTTTTCGAGAAACAATTGGAAATCGGTTAGTCAATTTCTAAAACATATACTACTCTGTCCATGTAATAAGACGTTGTTCTATCAAAATTTAGACAAAATGAAATGAATTTAATTCTGGTGAATTCAATACTCAATTCGCTTGAATTTGTAATGCACACAAAAACTGAACTCTAAGGGTGTCGAATCCTACTTGCTTTACAATAAGACCAAAACGACTGACGCTGCAACATTACCGCACACTTGATATCTTAAATGTTCGACCTGTCTATATGAAGTGTAACGTCCACAAAATTCCACTAAAAATTTTAAATAGTTAATATTCCATTATAAAATTGTGTAATTGTACAGCATTAAATATGGTAAGAATAATAATCGTTTTTAGATTTACAAATAAACTATCGTAAAATTTTGCATTATACTGAGAAAAACGATCCGAATTAAATTGTAAATGTACAATTTTTTTATTTTGTTTTATTTCATATCACGAAACTTCACGGAAGTAAAATATTGTTTTTGCTTCGATAGAAAAAGTTGAATTTATATAAAAATTGTATTAATTATTTTGCTACAGGTACTAATTAATGATGGTGAACCGATTGTTTTGGATAATGATGATGGTAATGATGATGATGGTAATGATGATGATGGTAATGATGATGATGGTAATGATGATGATAATGATAATGATGTTGATCATCATTCCACTCAAAATGAGGTGATATAATATAATTCAAGTTAAATTATATTTTACAACTCTACAAGTAAAGATGATTTCAAAAAGACATGAGTCAAAATTCCTGAAGTAATCCAACTTTAAAATTGAAGGTATTCGGATCGGGCTGAAATTTGCACAAACTTTACTACTATGAGTAAGTACTTCACCCATAAATTATTATTAAATTTTATGCAAAACTAGAGGGTGGAGGGGGTTCAAATTTTTCGTCAAATGTGAACAGTGGATTTTTTAAAAAATCGTAACTTTATTTGTTTGTAAAATATTTCATTTGTTATAAACATTAATTAATTAATTAATCAATATCTCGAAAACAAAAAAGAACGTCATTCTAGTTTTTTGGTATGAAAAGTATATATCTTAAGCTTCATTTTGAGTGTAAAAAAATTTAAAAAAAAATCTTTTTAATTTTCAAGAAAAAAGAGTAAATTTTTAATTTTCAAAAAAATATTTTTTATCATTCGAAAGAGCAGAAAAAAAACTTTCAAAAACATACAGATTAAAATTTGTTTCATCCATTTATATAGAAGTTATGATTTTTTTAAAAATCCACTGTTCACATTTGACGAGAAACTTGAACCCCCTCCCCCCTCTACAGTTTTGCATAAAACTTAACAATAATTTATGGGTGAAGTACTTACTCATAGTAGTAAAGTTTGTGCAAATTTCATCCCGATCCGCAAACCTTCAATTTTAAAGTTGTACACTTCAGGAATTTTGCCTCACATATAATTTGAAAAATATAAAAATTAGGGAGATTTAAGTAGCACTAGACCCGTAAGATTTTAAATAAACATCGTTCACCCCAAGTCAAACGTACGTGTAAGTGAAAAGTGTTTGGAAAGTTATCTAACTTCTATGAACAGTGCAGAATGTACGTATCTCGCATACTCTGGACCAAAACTACTTAAGTTTGAGCCCACACAGCACAATATCTTACTCTAAGATTCCCTTAAGTTTAAATGTAAGATTCGTTAGCTTACAGCGTAAACTTCGGGTGAAGTTAAGGTGAACTGCAAATGTCCTCTCTACTGTAAGCTGCAGTGTAAGATTGTAGTCAGCTTACAGTTAAGCTTACTATAACCTTACTGTAAGCTTCCCGTAAACTTATAGCGCATTCAGTTAACTGCTTTCAAAGCGCTTTTGCTTGGAGTGAAAGCACTTTTTGCTTTGCCTCAAAGCACTGCGTGACGTCATGTAAGCAACTACTTTGCTTTGGAGCACAGCAGATTGGCGCAAAATATAAATTAAAATAAATTGTAGAATTAATAATTATAAAATATTTCTGTTATTTAAATATAAACGTAAATTATATTATTATTAATGTAATAAATAATTAATAATTTAATAATATTAAAAATTTATTACATATAAATTCGACAGATCCAATTTTACAATTTTGGAAAAAAATATTTGGAGTTGAAATTGGCATACAAATTATCATTGTTCACTAACTTTTAAGAAAAAAAACAAAATGTTTATTAATTATTATTTAACAACAAATTTTAATTGAAAATAATATTTTTCCAAAATTGTACAATTGGATCTGTCGAATTTTGGTGTAATAAAATTTAAATATATTTTTAGTTCTGTTAAAAACTACTTTTTAGTTTAAGGTTATGTTAATGGGTTGAATTTCCTTAATTGTTTTTCCCATAGTATATTACAGTTTTAAATTTATAAAATTTATACTTAACAGAATTTCTATGTAATACATTTTTTATTTAGCAGAATATTCTTTCATCGTAATTTCCATTTAGCACACTTTTCATTTAAAAAAAGTTTCTTTTTACACGAATTTTTATTTCTTAGAATTATTATTAAACATAATTTCGTCTGAGTCGAATTTTTAAATGCCAATAATAATAAAATTGATTAATTAATTATTTATTAATTATAACATTAATAATAATTTATTTTAAGGTTACATTTAGTATAACATAAATATATATTATTATTATTAATTATTTATTACCTACATTAATAATAATTTAAGTTTATATTTAATAACAGAGAAATATTTTATAATTATTAATTTAAAATTTATTTGAATTCATATTTCGCGCCAATCTGCTGTGCTCCAAAGCAAAGTGCTTCGAAGCAGTAACGCTTTGCCTCAAAGCGTACGCTACTAATTTTGACGTGCAGCAAAAATAATCTGGTTTGACTCATTTTGAATTTATAGTGAAATGTTTAAAATTGAACCCGGTTATATTCATTTTGACTTCGAGATTAATGTTAAATTATTGGAGACAAACAAATAATTACTTACAAAAATATTAAATAAAATAATTGTTTTTAATAAACAAAGGTATAGTTCTAAAGAAAACTTTAATTCTTGAAGTTGATTTACACAAATTAAGGAAATTAAATAATAGAATTTTTAGATTAGGAATCTTGTTGAAGTTGTTGACTCCATTTGACAATATTTGAATATGTCATGAAAAAAATATAAATATAAAGAAAATTTTTATATTTTCACAAATTTTATTACACAAGAATCAAAGACATAAATATTATTTAAGTATAATTTACTTTAATATTTATTATCTATAATTTACAAGATTCTGCAGTACATCAACATGAAAATATCACAATGTACTCGCAATGTAGAATATAACCTATATTTTTACAGTTTTTCTATTCGAGTTCATTTTGAGTAACGCGAAGTTGTCTGTTAACTCATATTGATGCAGATCTCATAATGAGATGCACCAAAAATGAGTTCGGTTTTTTTCGTGGATGTTACATTTTTTATTCGTATGATCCATACAATTTTTTTAATCGACAAAAACGCTAAGCTTTTGCTCTGACACGCAGAGCCTTCTCAGAGCGAAAGCTTAACGTTTTTGTCAATTTTTATCGATTAAAAAAATTGTATGGGTCAGACGAATAAAAAATGTAACATCTATTACTAAATATGAGTTCCTGATCAACATCTTTTCCATCTTATTAAATTATTTATTAATATTTAACTATATTTTTCTCACCAGATGATACATATTGTGATCTAGGATGTACAACCCTAATGGGAATAGTTAATTAAAATCTACTGCGCTACCGTCCCTATTGAAAATCCCCACATGGGAAACCACATGGGAAACCACATGGGAAACCACATGGGATCCTATGTAAAATCCCATTCCCATATGGGAAACCACATGGGATCCCATACGGGATCCCATATAAATCCTCATGGAAAATTGGGACAGGAATTGGCATCGGAAAATATCAAAAAAAGGTTCCTCATTTCCCATGTCATTTCCTATGTCAAATCCCACGTCAAATATCATGTTAAATACCATGTTAAATACTAATTGAGATCCTTTATAATTTTTTTGAAAAATTTTCCCATGTCAAACCCCACGTCATTTCCCAAGTAAAAACCTTTATCATTTTTTTGAAAATTTTTCCCATGTCATTTCCCATATCATTTCCCATGGAAATCCATATGGGAAATGGAATACGATTTCATGTGCATTCTTCCAAATGATAAAACAAATAGATTTAAGCATAGGAAATCATATAAGATTTCATATAGATTCTGAAATCTCAACCTAAGATTTCACATGGATTTACATATAGGAAACGATATAGGATTTTATTCGGGAATTTTTTAGTTGGCTGCTTTATGCAGGCGGCAGTTTACAAAAAAAATTAATTATTTGATTAAATATCAAATAATAATAATGCAACTCATCTGAAAATAAAAAAAAGTTTACTTTACTTCTGCCTTAGACTCTCAGCTTTTATAGTATTCCAGACTGATCTCAACTGTGAGAGAAAATATTTTCACCATCTGGTGGCGAAACAATGAAACTATAATGACGATCAACATCTATATTGAAATTTCCCATGTGAAATCTTTTATTATTTTTTCGAAAAATTTTCCCATATCAATTCCCACGTCAAACCCCATGTCATTTCCCATGTGAAATCCTTCATCATTTTTTTGATAAATTTTCCCATGTCAAATCCTCTTTCGCCCTATCGAAAGTCCCCACATGGGAAAGCATATGGGAATCCACATGGGAAACCACAGAGGAAATGGAATACGATAAAGGATTTCATAATAAACTACTGCGCATAAATAATTATTTAATTTATTTGTTAAGATTTATTAACAATAATGTAAGGTTATACGAAGCTTACAGAAAGTTTACGGGAAGCTTACATTAAGGTTATAGTAAGCTTAACTGTAAGCTGACTACAATCTTACACTGCAGCTTACGGTAGGGAGAACATTTGCAGATCACCTTACCCTCACCTGAAGTTTACGCTGTAAGGTAAAAAATCTTAGGTTTAAACTCAAGGGAAGCTTACAGCAAGATATTGTGATGTGTGGGAGGTTACTTTTAGAACTCACTTGAGTCTACTTTTGTAAGTTTCGAGAAAAATATAAATAATAATAAGATATTAATTAATCTCTCGATTACATCACTTCCATTTTTGATTAAATGTTTCTATATTAAATAACGTTTCAATGTTGTATTTCGTTTGTTGAAAAATCATGTAAACTGTCACAGCAAGTTCTAAACGAAACCTCAAACTTAAGTAGTTTTGATTGCAGTATACGAGATATGTACATTCAGCACTGCTCATAAAATTTAGTTAACTTGTTCGACTTGGGGTGAACGACATATTACGTAAATATTTTCGAAACTAGTTTCAGTATTTTAATAATAGCTTGTTTTGTACAATCTGCATTATCCGCCCCTATACCTTTCGACGAAACTCTTATCAATACAAACTCAAAAACAAATTTAGTGTAATTATACGTGTATTTGATACTTTAAAACTTTTTCGAAATCTCAAGAATTGTTACACATGTAATAATTTCGAAAAAAGTTTTAGACAAAAGTTGTAGATATAAAAAAAACACACATTTTATGTTTTATGTATTTTTTACTAAAAGTGAACGCAAAATAGTAAACACGGCCTTCGGCCGCGTAAGGTACTGCTCGCTTTTTTTTAAAAAAAACCTTGGCGAG